TCGTGTTCACAGTTTTACAACTTGTTTACGTTGGTCGCAATTTGGGGGAATATTATCCATCTCAAAGCTCGGTGATCGAGCGCGAAAATGGGCACTGACGTGCGGCACTTCGGTTGGGGCAGCGTTTTCCTCCTGGACGGAGCTGTAATTGCAGCTCTCCGGAGTGTTCTCGCTGCGTAATCTGGCGTATCGCGTGCGATCGCGCTTTCTTGCCGCCCGACAGGGCAACAAGGAATTGGTCGACTTTGTCCAAGAGATGCAAACTCTCATTGCCGGGATGGCAGCAGATCCCCTCCCGGAGGCCGTCACAGTGACCGTCTTTATGGAAGGCCTCCGCACTGGTGTGGCCAGAATGGAAGTCCTCCGTGTGCATCCGTCCTCATTTGAAGAGGCGGTAAATGTGGCATTGAATGCCAAATTCAAATTCAAGTCGGCACAACTTGGTTGGAATGCACACTCCAACAGCTCGTCGAGCGGGTCTATGCTCATGGATCTCAGCTATGCTGAGGACGAGGGAGCAGAGCTCCGAACTACCGGGTAGCATACATACATTCGTCGGCGTTTTGTCTGTGGAGAAACCCGTCACCTCCGGAACGGTTGCACCGTGCGCAAGGCGCGTCAAGGTTCTTTGAATCATCACCCCAATGCCTACCAGTCTGGTTCGACGCGGGGAAACAACACCACCCAGTAGGCGCGGGGCGACCTACTAAGAATGAACTGAATTCTGTTGAGCCTCAGGGAGGCATAGGTCAACAAGGTTCAGCCCTGAAGAGCTCCGTGCTCTTGAACACAGAACGTGTATGCCAGCCGGGCTTGCTGGTCGTGGAGGCGACGTTAAGGGTTTCGAGAAGCCATGGAAGATCTTCATCAATTTCGGGGCGTCGGGCAATTATGCTCGACGCTCCACGATGGAAGGAAGTCAGCTGTATGCTGAGGCGCTGAAAGCGCGGTTGGGTGACATATTCACTGTTCGCTTAGCGACAGGGACACTTGTCACGGTCCCAAAGGTCCCTGTGGACCTCGGAGTCAAGTTTT